TATCATATTCTTTGGTGGGATTAATGGAAACGTCAGCTCAGCAAATATCATTTTGGGAAAATTCTTCTTCTACCAGTCCTTTATCACCTTAAACGAAATTGGCTGAATACATCTCATATTACTGAAATAGTTCAGTCCCTCTTCTGTATCATACTACATCCAGGGTGGAAATGATTAACATCTGATTTTGGGATGGAGGCCAAATTGACATTATCATGTCATTGTTCTATAGAAGAAGATCAGTCCCTTTAAAATGGTAGTTTGTCCCTGAAGCGTATGCACACAACATTCGAAAGCTTTGCATGTAGTCTTCCGATTCCGAAAACAGTTCTGGAATGGGTTGCATTCGAAATAAATATTCACTTAGGCAAGTTTAAGTGGGTGTTATCCTTAATAACGGGTAGCAGACTGAGCTGACCTCGTAAAAGGTGATTTAATTAGTCTCTTTGGGTCTGGTTCATATTACGGACGCACTTCCTGCACACCCAATTTTGCACATTAACTTCTTCACTAACACCTGACGTATATATGGTAAAACTCAATAGTAGTTATGTGTTTCCTTAACTTAAAAGGTCTTTGACTGTGATGACAAGGAAATTTTACGCTCTGTTATGCCTACACAAAATGAGAACATACATGTCTACCTAGGCTCGTATACATATATGCAAGGGACTACCAGTCCCTTGTATATCACCTTAAGCGATATAAGGTGAATACATTTATATATAAGTTAATTAAATGCCACCTGCCGTCATGCCAATTTGGAACGAGCTGAAAGCTCTATTTGGCCCCATTTTTCGCATGACTCCGTATGGGAATTTTTAAACCCCATTTCTTCAAGCTACCTACTGGTAGACTCGAAACTCTGCTTATATAGTAAAAATAAGTAATGTAGTTGATACATATTTACGCATTAGCCCTTGCAGATATCTTACTTGCTGAATCTGCCATTATAACATGGGCGCACATGTAGGGAATAACGCTTTTTACAAAGCTTGTGAGTGTTTACACTATCCTCGCGAACGTCTAAACGATAAGCCAACTTTATCCATGCTGCTCAACATGAGAGAAAGCCCACTGGGCTGAGAAAGTCTTCTTCGGCTCTCCACCTAATCTGGACCCAATAAGAAGGAAGTGAACTGAGTATCTACGCTCACAACGGTTCATCTTTTATTTAAGTCGAACTCCCCTAGGAAAACTTTACTTTTTAAAGGATCAGTGGGTGTTTCGGATTCGTTAACTCATTCTCTGCTCCGGTAGAATGGGCAAAAGAGGCACAGAGCGCATTTGGCCTTAATTATTAACTGTGAAATAAATTGTTTACAACTGGTTACTCACGGAAAACTCTAGACACCTGTCTTTTAAAATTGGTAAACCATCAGTATTAAAATTAATTTCACCATTGAAAAGATTGAATTTATGACTTAATCCCTATGATAAGAAGAATATCTGAGTTTTGGTGAATCTCCCAAGATAATTGAAGATATGAAGACCAAGATGTTGCGACCAGAGATAGGCGTCCACAGTTTGCTCAGATAACATGGGTTTAATGAAGGAGAGGACCAGTGACGGGAAGGCCTGAAATCTGCAAGAATATCATCAGAGCTAAGGCGCTTTGCTCGGTGAGGCGGCAATGTACGTGCTTCTGGGGCCTTGAAAAATAGCGACTGGCATGAAATGCACACTGGGACTGGAACCGAGTGAAATTGGTCAACCAGAAAGATAGTGAACGGATCTACCGGACCATGAGGGGATCCGGATTGAAGGCCCGAGTCGGATGATCCGATAGAAAGAGAGGGAGATTGCCTCGGAATCAGCGTCAGCATGAATCTTCCAGTAAAGCCAATCGAAAGCCGGTCAAGAGGAATCCGCCGTCGTCTTCTGGTGAAACCGACCTTCTAATCTCTTCACCCAACACTTCCACTCTAAATGGAAGTAAGCTAAACAGAAAGAGAGGGGTCGGGGTAAATAGCAACTGTGATGGGGCCACAATAGATTTGCCACAAAAGAGCACACATTTTGACGAGTGTTATGTGAACAAGTGAGAAGTTGTGATAGGGCGGAGGTGGGATAAGAGGGTAAAGAGTAGATAGATAGTCTAGGACAGAAAGAGGAGTGATAGTGTAACCATTTTCAGCAGAAAGTTTGTCGAAGGATTGGCTTCACTTGTCTCTTTGACGAGTTCTTAGCTTGGTCCGGAGAATGGCAAAACTCACTGATGATGCCGACTACGATGCCGGCGAAACTTTTGAGAATGTGTCAAGTCCACTGTTTGATGCTGGGAATCATGACAACTACTATGGCAGACGACTTCGGACAAGGTGCGTTCTACTAAGTCGCCCTGACAACAAGACTAAGTTACGACAACGAGGTCAACCCACTTCTCCCAAGACAATGTTGTTGTGGCGACCTAAATTTCGTTTTATAGTGTTTGCTGAAGAGATTAGAAGGTCGATCTCGTCAGTAGACGACCGTTATTGCGTATAGACATTAACATATAAACGCAATATTACACATATACTCACACTCAGAAAAAGTACCATAGCCAATTTGAAGATGAATTAGCCAAATCATTCTGTATTAATCCATGTCTATACATTTTTGTTTGTTAGTTATGAGTATATATAAAACGAAAGATGTAACCGGACAGTCTTCTTGGCCGAGTATTAACTTGAGACTTTACAAGAATGGGTTCCAGTTCTGATGATGCCCATTATATGTTGAAAGATAGTTCAGACCATTTTACCCCGAAACGAGGGGATGATTCGTGGACTGCCTCAGCCTGAACGTCTATTAGAGCCAAACAGCAGCGGTACAACAGATATCAAGCGTCGTCTTCTGGTGAGATCGACCTTCGAATCTCTTCTTCATGCACTTTCATACGAAGTGAAATTCTTCCCAACAATAAATTCCCAATCAAAGGTATGAAGACCGAGATTCTGTGGCCTTGGGTACGGTCGCTGTATCCTTTTGTTGTATAAAAGTTGTTTAAATTTGTTTTCGCAACTTGGTTCAAATGTCGGGGATTATTTTAATAGTGGACACGTGAACTTGAAGAATCCCCAGACGTTTTACCGGCATAAGCAGTAAGCTTTGCCATTCTGTCCACTTCCCTACAACTAGTCAGAGAGACAAATGAAGTCCATCTTTTGACAAATTTTCTGTGGTATCTTTCCATCATACCTGATGCATTCACCTATCCTATGTCCTCGTATCATCCCTTTAACTATCACAATGTGTTGCTTGTTTATTTAAACCTAGTTGAAATGCACATCTTTAAATGGATTCAGTGAGACCTATTCACACTCCACGCGGGTTCTCTCATCCCCCCTTGTAAGTGTAGTGTGGATCCGAGTATGTCCTTTTAATCTCCACTCCTCTTCTCTCAGATCCCATCAGAATCTCTCTCTTGCACCGTAGGATCCGTCCCTTATTTGCCTGGTTCAGTGATTTCACTCGATTTCTGCCGCCAGATTCGTGCTATTCGATGCGTCATGTTCTACACTCTGCCTCAAGCCTTTCATAGCACGTTTATCCCAGCCTCACTGAGCAAGCCCTAAAAGTCTGGATTTTCAGGTGGCATGGAAACCTAACAGGAAGCTGCATATTTCCCTTTCACTCTTCAGCATGTACACCAGGCAAATCTTGTAGTCGAATCTGTATTTACTGGATCACAAACATGTCAAACACGTCTACTGTTAGCCCACAATTCCTGGTCCCGACCGCCTCTCTCGGGCTTCTATCCATAATGACAAGTCTATGAATTCCCTTTGTGCCTCGGTGGGCTAACCCGCAAATGTTCTCATTGTTTTGTTTAGACTAACTGTAGATTTTTCCTCTTGGCGTCCTAATGTTCCTCTGTGACCTTGCAATTTTTCTACCTCATGACCAACATATTTCCTTTATCTAGTCGTCTTCTTTTTGCTGATTTTGCTATTCTCTGATCTTTTTCGTGTTTGCTTAGGCAATCTGCAAAGTTTTCGCTAATCCTGCCTTCTTCAAGTCTCCTGTTCATCATATTTCTTCCAGTCAGGATGTCGATGGCCTCTCAGATCTTG